TATTTTATAATATATGGTTATATATTTATATCATATATAAATATATATTTTATTTATTACATTATAAGTATATATTTTATATTGTTTTTAATATATACTTTTCAAAATTATAAATTTTTTTATAGAAAGGATACTATAAATTTAAAATTAAAATGAATAATTTTCATTATATCTATGTAGACACAATCTTAATTTAATTGTAATAAAATAATTTGATTGACTTTGATTAATTCAAATTGATATCAAAATTAAAATTATAATTAAATTTTTAGAAAAATTTTATAATAAAATTTTGAAAAATTAATCGTTTTACTAAATGTAGCAGATAAGTATGCGTCATTTTATAGGGAAAATAGAGATTTCCTTATGAAGGTACATATCTAATAAACATGGCGACTGCCAAGTGACAACGCGTTTTGCTGTATTAATTGCTTTTCAATTTTGAGTTTATTACATGATTATATTTAGCAAGTAATTTACAAAATAAGACAATTTCCTATTTTATTATTTCAAAGGAACATAGCAATTAAATAATAAAATAATTTTTTGAACAAAATCATCGTGTCGAAACAAGCTTGTACGTGTGTTAAAATGAAGACAGTTTATTGGATTAATTTTTATATATATTTTAGTGGCTTTTAAATATTTTCATATACAAATTTTTATTAATTTGTTTGATTTTTAAAACTTTTTTCTAAAAAATAGAAAAAATCTTTTTACGAATAGTTATATTTTTTTATATTTACAACCGTATCGTTATAACTTTCGCAAATATTTAATAAATTTATCATAATAAACTTTTATGAAGTTTATATATTATAATAATAATATAGTTATAATATATCTTTATATAATATGAATTTTAATTATATATATAATAATTATTATTATTTTAAGAAAAAAAGATTTTAATTAAAAGAATTTAATAAATAGATAATATATTTATGAACAAGAATTAATTGAAATTTATTATTATATGATTTATTATTCATAGTATATGTTTATTTTTGATGATATG